TAATATTTTCAAAAAGTATAAAATAATTGTACGTTGTTCAATAGTTGATTTCAGAGATTTGTAAATATATAAAATTATATATATTAGAAGATTTTAGTTATTAAAAATGTGTTTTCTCTAAATTTATGTTGTAAAAGAATTATTTGAATTTAGATGTTCTCCTAATTTCTCCTTTGTGTTGCTAAAACGACGAAGGAAGTTATTAGGATATCCTGAATCACCCGAAACGCTTACGGAGCAGGTGGCTTATTAGCATAAATGCCTGTAGGAATTTCGGACAGCTTTTTAAAATCGCACACACATACATACACACAACACAAACCGATGGGGAGAGAGAAAAAAAATAATTTAAATATTCAACAGCTTAATTCTGTCGGGGTGGCGGGAGGTTTTCCTTTCTTTTTATTTCTCTTCTTTTTCTTCTTCATTTTGGTTCGTATTCGAGCCGGGTAGAAAGGGAAAAACCAGAAAAACGGGCCATAACTCAATGTTAACATTGCTGAGCTAATAGTGGCGAGTTATAATTAATGCCGCACGGAATGAATGTATCATTCATCTACATAATTTTAATTGGGTATATCAAAATATTTACACCTCGGACTAAATTTAGATCAATCTAGTCGCCGGTGTTTGTATGAGTAATGCCGGGCGCGAGCATAAATATTATAGGTTTATCAATTTTTGCCGCACCTGGATTATTTAATTTGGCGTCGCGGCGCCGACGGATATATCTTTGGCAGGTGTAGGAGCGACGGCCCAAGGAAGAAGAAGGATGTGCTGCTTTCACCCATTTGGCTTTGTTCATCGTTTTAGGATGTATACAACCCCCGACAATTTGTTCGCGACGGGTGGTCTGCCACCCCCGTTCTTCCGACGCATTAGGGGGATAGGTCCGCGCGCGACACAGGACATCGCAGGATTAAATATACGACACGGAGCACGGGTTTTAAATTAAATTAAAATTTAATGTTACGAGATATGTTGTTTTATTAAATTATACGGAGACGGTACCGTCGGATCGCACCCTCGTCCTTTTCCACTATTCCTCGTCCAACAAAGGAGAATCAATTGACGGAGGGTCGCCCTCGGGATTATCGATGTCGTTCCCATATTTGGTGGGGGAGTGCGATGTTTTGGGACACGTATAAATGTATAAATTGAAATTCCCGTTTCATATTTTCATTTCGTTCCACGAGCCTTTTATTTATCTTCGTTTTCTATTTTCTACTCCCTCTTCGTCGTTCTCTCCTGGTGCCTGCCCTTCCTGTGGCTACCGTATATCATACATATATGCAAGTCCCGAGGGGGCTATACCATCTTGGACATCGCTTGCTATGCATAGACGAGAAGAGCAGTCGGGGTAATAGAGAGAGGATGTGCGAGAGTGCGCGCCCAGGGCTGCGGCGATGATGGTCAACCGACCCACCGATCCACCGACCGACCCAACGACCAAACCGACTACATTAGACTATAAATGGCACCGGGCTGCTCGTAAACCGTTTCCAAAACGAATGTAAATTCTGAATGACTTGGGCGCGGTGCTTTGCCGTCGATAACTCAACGATGACAGTTCATTATTCGATAACTTGTAAAGCTCCTACACGCCGGTCGCCCAATAAACTAGCGATCACATTGATAAGACCGTCTCGATTCATCATTTAGCAACGCACTATGCATGACCGCGACTAATTAAGGGGAGAGGCATGAGGGGGTGGGAAGCACCCGAAGATCGAACAGAAGCAATAAAACGCTCGGATTTTAAATAGTCAGCGACAGAAGCCCTTCGGGGTTTTT